GGCCACAGCTTCATGTGTATTCAAGCTGGTTACAGCTCCCATTTTTCTATTGTTAAACTTCATCTTAATTACATTGTACTCTTTAAACACTTGGCTTCACACCCATCTAGTTTCTTTCAACTAACTCAACCGTGCATTTTAAAATTTAAATACACAGTCAAACTGCAGGCCCAGAGCCCAACCACCACGAGACAAGATGATATCATCACACTCTGTCTGAGAGGCAGAGCTGAGTGGCAAAGACAGGCTAGATAACTCCAGAGGAAAGGAGCTTCACAGTGTGCCAGACTGCTCCACCAGGAGATACATCGCTTAGGAGGGCTTATGAAGCCTGTGCAGCCAAAGCTGCCTGGTGTGGACCCTGCCTGTACACCGAGCACAGGTTTAACCAGCTCCTACAAACCACCACTCTTCTCACCTTCGCACTGGAATAGCGTAATTACTGGGGGGAAATGAGAGAGGTGGGGCTGCTTCTTTATGAGGCTTGAAGTGTTTGTGGAATTATAATGTAACATTACATGCCAATTGTTCTTGTAAATGAAGGCCGCTACTGCTGAACATTCGTCCCTGTATATACCAGTTAATGTGTGCAAATGACTGTATGGAGGCAACCCATTGCCAGTTTCAACAAGGCCTAACAAAATTTTCTGAGCTTCACTGAAAACATTGCCCCATCTCTATATAAAAGCTCAAATTTTACCCACCACTTCTGTGTTGCACTTTAGGTTGAAATAGATCACAAATCGTTACCCACCTTTGGGTGTTTTTATGTACATAAAATACATCTTCCATTCTAATAAACTTCAACAGCCCTTAGAGATCTATTTCAGCAGAATTTAAAATAGAGTTGAAACATTCCTCATTCCTAGTGGCTGGTAACTGCTTATAAGGCTTCTGTGCCTGTGAGAGTTTACGCATACACACATACATGCATATGAGTGTGTAAGCACAGGCAGCTTAGCGAGCAAGTCTCCTTTTCATAGTATATTTATATAGTTGCCATAATGACGTTTTAGCTACATTAAAATGGTGTGTGTAATGTACATATAACTAAATAATTATGAACTTCTGCAAATGGTTGGAGCCAAACTCCTGTCGTGCTCAGACTGCTGAGAGTCATGCAGCTATCTGAAAGGCAGGAATACTCCTAGAGTGCCTGGGAACCCTCACAGAAAAGGGCTGTTGTGGTAATAACTGAGGCATCTTCCAGTCTTACCAACCTCTCTCCCTGTTGTTTTTTTTAAGTCAAGGTGCTTTCCGAGACGTTTCTCCAGTCACCTTTATTGCTCCTTGTTCTCTGTCTTTACCAAAATCAAGTAGAATGTGAAAAGGTTATAGCATAGTAATTTTAAATCTGATGCTGTCAATTTGGTTAATGCATCTCAGAAATACAAAAAATGATCTGTTTAAACCAGTTCTTTTGGCTAAAAATTTAAAGGCATTGATGGAAAAACTAGACTACGTACTTAACAATGTTTGTCTATGGATTTTGTCATCCACTCTATTTCACATAAAACAGAAGGTTATAAGCCTACATTTGGATAAACTCCTTCAAGGAGGCTGCCAGCTCTGTTGGCAGAGATGGTACAAGGTCACAGCAAATACCCTGAGCTCTAATCCCAAACAGTAGTGCCTCCATGACTACCACTTCACTAAATCTTTAGCACATGCATTCCTAACATGTTATTTCTCAGGTTTAAACATTAAATTTTCATACTTGGCTATAATGAAAACTATTACCATTTAGATTTAACTCCACTCAGGCAGTCAAGGCCAAAGCCGTTTCTGAAATGTGCTAATGTTTCCAGATAAACATGCCTGGAATAAACAGTCCCTGAACACGTGGAGTACCTTCCCTCACACAATAACCTACTGGTGTAGCATTCTCAGTGGGAGGATTCTCCATTCTTTTGCCAAGGACAGAAACAACAAAACCAACCTTTTGGGGGGTTTTGCACATCCTACCAACACAGCATTCAAGACGTTTTAAAAAACTGCCAAACCTAAGTTGAAGATGCATCAAGTCAGTACTATCTTCCTCAGTATGCAGTTGAAACCCAGCTACAAAACTGGAGAAATCCTAACATCTTCACCTCATCCCGGCCATTCAAGACACCTTCATTAATCCCTACACTGTAGAGAGTAGTTCTTTGTAAAGCCTGGCTCTGAATCATATCACTGAACTGATCAGGTAGAAGATAATCTCCTCCTACCGCAAAAATGTAAGAAGCGGGGCAGACAGAAGAAAGAAGACAAATTTCTTAAGCCTGCTTTGTCTGAATACATGGGCAATAGGGAGCTCCATCATTTCTGCTGCTGTTCAGAGTTGCATAGAGAGTGCAAAAGTGGGGAAAATGGCCCATTATTTTAGCATTCATTGCCATTTCTCTGATATCCATTAGCACCAGTTATCTTGACCAGATTCTGGCTAGTTCCCCTCTATCAACACAGGTAGACACTGCCGTAGGCTGAACATTGTTTTGATGATCAGGCTCACACACTTGGTATTAATACACACATTTTCAGATTATCAACACAGTAAAAAAGGCCAGATAATGGTGACATCATCATCATCCTCACTATGACTTCAAAAAGCAGAAAAGGTAAACCAGCAGGCTGCAGAATTAAACTCTGCTGGTCGACTTATGTTTAATTTTTGACATCAGCAGAATAATTTGGCCTCAAAATACTTAGGTAGCTATTTTCAAATAATAACCTGCCCACTACGGTTCAGGCTGAATAAAATAAATAAACATATGTTCACCTCACATTGCTCCATAACAAAGGACTTAAAAATTTGAGTCTGAGGTCATGCCATTTCACCTACACAGTTCAGATGACATTGCAGAGTCTAGACAAACCAGTTTCACCAATACTCCCAGAAAGATCAACTTCCTATTACACAAGGTAAACCAGAAGAAGGAACAGAATAATGTCACAAATTCTTTTTTTCAACTTTGTCATCCTTTTATTAAGGTAAAATTCCTTACACAGAATACACCACAGACCATTTTTGCAGTGAATTAAATTCCACATTCGCCATACATACCCTGTCAGGGGAACCCAAGTGCATCCTCAGACAATTTTACTAGTGACAGTGAGATCTAATAATGCAATTAACAGAAATTAAAATAATCTTGTTTGCTTGGAAACAATTCAGGCAGCCTAAGCACTCATCCCATTTATTAGATCTAAAAGCAAAATACAACTAAGTCAGATACTGAGAATAAAAACAGTTGTGTGGTACACCCGCAGAGAAGACAGGACCTTTGAAACAGCACCACAAATTCTCAAATCAAACAGGTTAGCAATGATAAGCCCTCCCTTTTCATTACTGTTATAACATTACTGACATTTGCTAAAATAATCCTTTCTAGTGTTTATTTGCACTGAAGTGGGATTTAGAAACAGCTAATGCCAGTTGCAACTCAAGGTATATGTAAACCAACTAGGAATTCTTTTCAAATGATTAACACCTTTCAAAAACACCTCTAAAATGTAAATAGATACATGTAAAAATATCAGTGCTTCAAATCTTATACAAAACCTGTTTTTTCTTTAGCTCACATCATTTTTTAAAAAATATAGGTGGATATTAAACTGAGAAAATATTCTACTAACAACAATTATCTTCTCTTATGTGAAAGATTATCTTAATACCCTAAGAAAAATTTTAATAAAAATTAGAAATCCTGCTTTCTAATTTTAGGGTTTTCTGTTTAAGAAGTACAGCTGACGATGTCTCAAAAATAGTAACATACAATAAAAAACAGTAAAATTGCTTTTCTCAACCTGACAAACTTCAGCTCCTTTGTAAAACATGCTGCTTATACACTACTAATGATACATTCCAATACTGTATGAAAAGTTTTTCATTTTCATTTATAATCTTTTCTCAAAAGACCCGAATTCAAACTAACATTCTAATTATTTAAAAAAAAGCTTATAGCAACTTGGTACACTTTTATATTAATCAGCAGTAACCACATCTGGCTTAGTACACAGTGTGAGCATAAGTGAATTCATTCTGGGTCTAACATGAGAAAAAAATGAGACAACCCAACGACAACGACATTTCCAGAAAATATACCTGCTAGTCAAACAAGTTGTTGCAAAGCACCTTTAAAAGGTAATCAGCAGATTGGTCGTTTTAATTACATTTTTTAAAAAAATTTAAACTTCTGTCAAAATCAGTTCTATAAAGAGTTGCTTAGCTACAAGACGCGTGATAGTTGTCAGAATAAGCATTAGACACTGAATTTACAAAATTTGTATGGGTATAACACAAATCTTATCTTTACTTTGAAAATTATGCAAACTACACTGCAGTGATTTTTTTAAAGTACTTACATGCTACAGAATAAAACAGGAGAAAGATAAAAGCTGTACGTAACAAGTACTCCTCTCAAAAGCAGACGCTAATCCAAACTCACCACAGAAGTTTTATGGCAGCACTGATCTCCCCATAAAGTTGTCATCATATGGGAGGGATATAAATTATATCAGATGCAAAGTTAATTGGGAAGAAGAATAAATGGCTGAACTGCCATTCCAAACTTTTCCCATGGATAAGAACACACACAATACGGACACACCCTTTCGCTAATTCGCGGAATAAAAGGGAGATGAGAAGTCAGAGTGCCCTCAGCTCAGGAATGCCAGGAATCCCCGGAGGAATGCCTGCGGGCCGCCGGCCGCGGCGCCCCCGACACTCCGGGCTCTCGGTGACCCGCGGTGTGAGGGGGGGGGGCCTCCCCGCCGTCCCGCCCAGGGCTCCGGCCCCGGGGGTCACCCGGCCCTCAGCGGCCCGGGCAGGGCGAGCTCACCTGAAACCAACCCCAGCGGCGGGGCAGCCGCGGCCGACGCACGCACCCTGGGAAAAGAGCCCCCGCTCCTTACAGCCGCGACAGAAACTACGAAATAGTCAGGTTTTACCGGAGTTTGTTTTCCCGGCAACTCCCTCTCCGCTCCGCTGGCAGCGCTCCCCTCTCCGCCGTTCAGTGCGCCCGCCCCGGGGGCGGCACAGCCCGCCGCTCGCCAGCGCAGCCCCGGGGAGCGCTCGGGGGAAGGCCTGCCCCGGCACGGCCGGCGCTCCGCCAGCCTCCCCGCGCAGGGAGAGCCGCGTTCTCGCCTCCTCACGCCCGGGAGGACTCGGCGTCCTCGGCCTTTGGAAAGGAGCGTGTTTAACGGAGCGAGGTGGAGGAGGAAAGCCGGCGACCCAGGGCGCCTCAGCGCGGGGAGCCACCTCCGCAGCCGCGGCAGCCCCTGACGGCACCACACAGCGACGTCCCCTTGTGCCCACCGCGCTCCGGTCAGGTCGCGCCCTGCGCCCGCCCGCCCGGCCACCTCGGCGGGGAGAAGTAGGCGACGCGGTACGCCCCCCCTCTCCCCCTCGACTCCCAGACCTCCCACACCCCGGCCGCCGCCGCTCGCCTCACCCGTCCCAAGCCGCCTCGCCCTCTGAGAGGGGCTCCCGCTCACCTCCGCGCCGCTCTCGCCGCCAGCTGCGCTCGCCACCGGAGCTGAGGGCAGACTGCCCGCCCCCTCCAGCGGGAGAGGGGGGGGCCGGGGCCGGGCCCTGCCGGGGAGGAGTCAGGCGGGGGGCGCTCCCTCAGGTGAGCGAGGGGCGCTTTCCCGCCCTTGGGCTCCCTGAGGGGGAGCGCGGCGCGCGCCGTCTCCTCAGGCGGGACGGCCCCCCCTCCCCTCGACAGTCGCCTGTAAACGGCAAACAGAGGGGAAAGACACCCAGCTCCTCCTGTGCTCAGGGTGCGGCGAAGGGTGCCAGGACGAGAGGGGGTGGCTAGAGCGATCCGGTGAAGCAGCAGCCCAGCCCCGGGCCCAGGTACCGTCAGCTCGAGCCCGCTCGACAGTCGGGTTTGTTTTCCCTCCCGAGCGCGGCCCGTCGGCCTGCGGGGGCGGCGGGGAAGCGCTGAGGCAGCAGAGGGACGGGGCAGGGCGGGCGCGGTTTGGAACCTGTGGTAGAGGTAAGAGGGAAGGAGCTGGGAGCCGGGCCGCGGTGTGGCATGCCCCACTGCTCGGAGAACCACGTAAGGATCAGCTCTGGGCCATCCACCGCCTTTTGGGCGATTTTCACAATGTCTTGAAGCACCCCAGCCAGGTGTTCGCAGATTTCTAGAATATTCTGCATAGATAGAACCAAAGGGCCGCCATACTGCAGCATGGCCCTCTCCCCTGGCCCACCTGCGAAGGAAAGCCAGGTGCTAAGGGCTTGAGTTTTACAAGTGTCGTGCAGTGGCTATAAGCGTCTCACAGGAATCAGGCCTCAGCTAATTTCTTCCACCCTCAAAAATTTGTTCTCAAGATTTGAACCACGTAAAACAAGCAGCATTGTTAGAAAAAAGATCATAGTGAATATACAGGGGAAAACCCCCACAACAAAGTGATGGGTCTATGTCTACAACAGAGAAATCCAGAGCAGTGAACACAAAAAGGAAAAAATAGTATATAAGCCATGAAAGACACTTAGAAAGTTGTTCTACAGGATATGGATAGGCACACATCCTCTTTTCAAATCCATCTGTGCTGGAGGTCACAGCTCCTCAAATTCCTGTGAGAGCTGCTTTGCTACTTGTTACACATCTGTCAAAACAAGCCTAGTTAGCAAACACTGTTGTATGGAATTGTATTGTGTTTAATTATGCAGATTTTCTGTAGAAAAGACCCCTGTCTTAATTAGGATGCATAAACAAGAGGTTCAACCAGAAAAGTTACTGTTCCCAATATAACATCAATATTGACACTTCTGGGGCACTGTATCCAGTTTTAGGTTCTCTGTTGGGGAAAAAAAAGTTAGCTTGCAGATTCACGTGAATTTACAATACATCAGAAAATTAAGTGCATTTTTAGAATTTTAAAAAGCACTTATTTCTCTAGTATTCTAAGTCTGTGTTCCGTAAAGATCTATTGACAGCTACAAGAAACAGTCAAAAGCAAAACAAGGAGACAGAATTAGTCACTGACAGCTTGTGATAAAATACTATACTGATGGTTAATCAGTATAAAGAATTATAAACTGCAGGAATTGGACAAATTATAAACAGTTCATAAAGCCAGCTAGTGAGGTGTTTTCAGATGTTTTCCTTTGCTGAGAGGATGGAAGTGTTAGGTGTGACAGGGGCTATAAAGTTTTCTGTTGTGGAAAGATACACCTCTACATAATGCACTAAATTCATTCTCCCTCAAAATGGTTGTTGAGAGAAAAATCATAATGTATGGATTTTTCTGCCCTTAGTATTAAGTTGACTTGTCAGAAAAGCCCTCATGAGACATAACAGCTTAAACGTGTGTTGCTAACTTAATCTTACACGTATTTTGCCGTGTAACATTTGCTTTTCATATACATTTTTTCACATAAACAGAGGCCACGACTAATCTTAGAGCTGTTTAACTAGAAGATTTATATAGTTTGCTTAGCTCCTTTCACTGTAGTTTTCAGAAAGCACAAGTTTACTCTCCACCCCCTCTAACTGGTAGAACTGAGAAACAAGGATTGGAAAAAGAACAAAGTAATTGAACTATTTTTTTCTCAGAGTTACATGAACTACGTGGCACAGTTTTCAGTTGAACTCACAGACACACGTATATAGGGCCATATTTTATTACAGTGTGAAGAAATATGCTGACAGTTTTTTCAGCCTCATACGTAGTTTTGTAAGGTGTGAAGGAATTGAACTTGATAGGAAACAAAATGCTTCATTAAAGAGGTATATACACCTATAATTTATGGGTTATTGTTCAATGTTAATTAAAACAGGTGTCAATTGATGTTATACAATAATACATTTCCATTGCATTTGGAAGCAAACCAGAAAGATACATGAAAGATTAATTTCTTGCTAAAACCACCAGGCTATGATGACTACTAGTCATTACTATATAGTATATAATGAAGTTTTTTCATGATGTATTTACCTATCAAGTAACAGCTCAGGAGACAATGCAATTGGTATCTGACATACTCAGCATTAGACTACTTAGAAAACTATTCTCTTGTTTTATTTTTTGTATTAAAGAATAAAAAGTAAATCTAAGTGAAAATAAGGTGGGATTAGAACAATTGCTAAAACTCTTGTGTTGGCTGTGAGCATTTCAGACTGAAAAGGAGAGCTTTGACTGGATTTTGACTCAGAACTCTATCCTACACTTCTATGAGCCTTTGAGGAAAGTTTAATTTGAGCTTTTAAATTTTCATGAAAACTGTAGTTTAGATCAAACATTTTGTCAAACAGCTTCTTACAGATGTTTGGCATATTCTAAACATGAGTTTTAGAAGTACTTGGTATAATAATGCTACAAACATTAAGACTTTGTTCACTAAGACCCATAGTCCAGCTGGAATACTGCAAGAATACAAAGTTGTCCAGTGAGGTAAGAATTTTTTGAAGGAATGCATACAAACACAGCAATAAGCTAAAATTGCACTGAAGACAGAGTGAGGTCATACACAGAATACCATCTCAGTGCAGGCTACCATTTCCTTTCCCACCCCTCTCCACCTATTTTTCTCTTCCTCTCCTTTAAATGAGGGCTTTGGTCCTTGTTTACAGAACTGCTCAACACCATGATTAATGTCTCTCTGTCCAGGCGGGGTATTATAAGGCAGTTGTGAAATACAATGCAAAATGGAGCATGCAGCTAAAGCAAAAACAAAGAGTAATGCCCCGGCAGCTTGTGCTGTAGATGAATTCCAGCTGCTGGCTACTCCAGCACACCGTGGGTACTGAGCAGCACTCCCTAAATTCGGCTCTCCTTTTGCATTGAGTCAGACTGTATCGAAAGCTTAGTTTGTTAGTGCTATAGCAAGGTGCATCTCTATCTCTTCCTGTTCAACTACACATTGAACAGAATTCTGACACTTTTAAAAGTCCCCTGATTCCCTTGCAAGGAAAGGATCTGATCCAATAATCAAAGGGCGGCTGGGGGGGGTCATTCTCACAGTATATAATTACTTTGAAACACTGTTTCTGGTTCCTCTTTTACCATATATTGCAAATTTTCTCAAATTATTATAATAGACTAGATGTCTGTTGCTTAAGAAATAACAAAATTATCCCTGTTATTACTGTATTCAGTAAGGAATGTACATTTTTATCTATTCCTTATTTCAAGAAACACAATCTTCAAAATTCAGGTCTTCTTTCTAGTCTCTACCATTATTTTCACTGACTTGTTCTCTCAAAACATTTTATCTTAAGCAGAGTGTTTACAGATTTGATTCTAAAATTATATCTGTATCTCAACCATTTTAACAAACTTAACAAAGCCCTTTTGAGTTATATAAACATGAGAAAGTACCCTTTAATTAGAGTCAGGCCACTGTGGCTATCATAGAACACCGAGTAACAGTTCTATTTTAGATATTACCTTTACTGTGGTCTGAATTTACTCTCAGAGGAGGATTTGTGTTATTTGATGAAATTTAATTTTACACTCTTTACCAGATGCATTTTAATGTATCACCTCTGTTTTTTGCTCAAAAGACAGTGAACCAGGAAGTGAGGTCCTCCATTTTTCGCCTCTCTGATTTTTTTTTTCATCCTCTTTTCATAGTGGCCTTTTTTCTTCCCCCCCTCCCCTCTCTCTCCTTTTTCTTTTTGGGGGTAGCCCGTGTCTTTTACATTTGTCATCTCTTATTCTCCCATGCACAGCTGTCAAACACGTAGGGTACTGCTGATACAACCCAGACCACTGGTTTCCCTCTAACCCAGAGAATGTGGAGGGGTGTGTAACAGTATTCTAAAAAAGATTGAATAATCCCAGCCATTAGGGTAGCTGTTCAAGGACATATTTACATAGCAGGAGAATAAGATGTGGTAAATGAAAAGTATAAAATAACAGGTGAAATTGCAGAACAAGAGATGAATGTTTTCAGATGTCTTCAACAGGAGAGAATACCTGTTTTTACTTTATGTTAGCTAATCCACGGTAAGGAAAAAGTCAGGAGATAAAGATTTAAACTGTAACTTGTCTTCTATAGAACTTAATTTTATTGTTGTTAGCTCAAGTTTACAAATACTCTTTCTACTGAATATAAGACCATGTAATTATTAATTACTTATGTACATAGAAATCAAGAATGAAATACAGTATTCAAAGGTACAAGGTGAGATCAAGTGAAGATACCATTGATTTTAAAATCTGTTGAGGGGAAAAGACATGCAAAACAGAGTTCAATCACATATAATATGATAGTTTCAATATTCATTTAACAAAAAATATATAGTGTAGTAATTAAATGAATAATTAGTACAGATATGAACTTTAATTGAGGATTTTGGACACTGTTCTATATCTGGGCACAAGACTTTCTGATCTCACATTCTTCTTGGAACAACTCTATGTGGACTATATCCACATTTCTTGCTTCACCTTTACAACACAGGCTTGCTCCCACTAGCCTTATTCAAGTAATCCTTGCAATAACAAAATAAGTTTTTCCAAGAAGAGCCTTAAGAAATCCTAGGTACTACAAAGGGCATCTACATTAAAGTTCCAGAAACCACTGTAACTGTTAGCTCCTCCGCT